CTTAATTTCATCGCCAATTCTCGCCACTTGGTCGGTTGATACGATACCGATTTCTTAATTTCATCGCCATTTCTCGCCACTTGGTCGGTTGACACGATACCGATTTCTTAATTTCATCGCCAATTCTCGCCACTTGGTCGGTTGACACGATACCGATTTTCTAATTTCATCGCCAATTCTCGCCACTTGGTCGGTTGACACAATGCCATTTTCTTACTACCATCGCTCGTCGTCAATTCTTCAACTGATTTGAGTAGCTTCTTCATTATTCTATTCCCACTACTCACCTTTTTGTTCTATGTGCCGTCTCCCTTCCGGGCGTAGGCAATCATGGCTTTACACAATCTCCTCAATAAATATTGTCTTTTTTTATTTCTTCTAAATCTTGATTCGCCATCAATTTACTCATGCTCGTCAAGTAGGTTATGCATTGTTTTCCTCTTTCCCTCTTGCTTTTAATCTGCCCTGTGAGTATCAGATTTTCCAAGACCTCTTTCCTCATTATGTGCCCCAGAAATATCAACTCTCTTCCTGATGTGAAGTTTACGTTTTGTTGTCATTCGCTCCTTGACTCCGTCGTCGTTCATAATTTCGTTAAATGACATTCTCAGCATCCTACTGTAGAACGAAATTTCTGTTGCGTCAAGTCTCTTCTTCATCTTCAGGAATACTGTTCAATAATCACCGCCCTATAGGAGGACTGCTATCATGTAACAGTTCAGTACATTTTTCTTTATTTATGTAAACTTGGAGTGAAACTACGTAAATTGAAGAAGACAAAGACACTACTCAACACATGGTAGAATGACGCAATACCTTCTTCTTTTTAACATCCCCATTTCTCATAACTTATTCGACAGATGCAATAGCATTTTTTCTTAAATTCTAGCCTCTCTCATCAACTATTGGTCGATTGACGTAATAACAGTTTCTTAGTTCCATCCTCATTCGGCATTTATACGTTTGTTATGCAAAGAAAGTATTCACGAACAGAATGTGACGTCTAAAATATTTACCGTCTGTGACATATTGGCTCTTGGCTATCACTCGTTTGAGTTACATACGAAAATAGATAATCGCCTTCGATAAATAGATTATAAATGTTAGAAACAGACATTCGTATAGCAAATGATAAATTATTTTATTGAAGTGTCGTCGAATACTTCTTATCATTGTTTGTTTTCCAATGGAGAGAATTATTCCCGCCTAAAGCTTACGTAGATATTTCAGCATTTCTAGAAAATCTAACAAATACAAAATGTGGACGCTGTTTTTTTCTATCATAACAAACTGTAAGAGAAAGACATTTATATAATATTCCGACATATTGCAGGCATTTCTAGCATACTTATATTATGAAATTTTAATATTTTCTTATTTCGTAAAATCCTATTATTTCGTATACCCTACTGGGAGGCAGCCGAACAGATATCCCAAGAGAAAAATTCTGCATCTGTCTATATTTCTCAGACGAGGTAATATGTACACTATTTATGTTATTCGGTCTGATGTCTTCATTTTTGTTGTATTTATCACAATTTCAGCCGTTGTACGATCCGGCCTTCTTCTGGTGGATGGAATGTCTAACTGAACCCTTTATTTCGCTCACTAGGGTAGATTGATCTAGTTCCACGTGCCATGTCTAATGGATGTCAGTTATCAGTTATCGCCTGTTAATTCCCCTCTCCACGTTCTCTACTACTTTAACCAAGTATTGAACTCACACTCTTTGGGTTTTGTCAATGGATCTAACCAATGCCTTTATTCACAGTGCCATGTTTCCTTAAGTATGTGCGTTCAATACCTGGTTAAGGCCGTGGAGAACTTGGAGAGGTGAATTAACAAGCAATAACTGATAACTAACATCCATTAGACATGGAACGTGGAACTTGAAAAATCTATCCCAGCGATCGAAATAAAGCGTTCAGTTCCACATTCCAACCACCGGAGCTTACAACGGTCGAAATGTGATAATTATGGCAACAAAGATGAGGACAATAGTCCGAATAATGTAAAAGGTGTAGAAAAATCTGCATTTGAGAAATTAAGGGATAAGAGAAACTGGAATTTTAGTTGCATATGTCAGTTAATTGATTTTTTTACAGAAGCCATTTTATGTGACGTCATTATTTAATGCTAACTCTCTAAAACTAAGTCGTATCGTCTTTGTTACTTTAGAACGTCAAATATTTACGAAAATCTGTCATACTCTGTTGATCAAGTTATGGATATTAGTGCAGTTAATTAAATTACTGAAAATACTCTCATTAATTCTAGTTTTTTTGTTGTTGTTTGATGTCATATCAACTCCTTATGGGTCATCTAATGCCGAAACTTAATTTTCTTGAGGTCATTATTTCTTTTTAAAAATGTATTGCTGGTAATATTTTTTTCTTACACAAATGTATTGATGGTAATATTTTGTTTTTCTTACAAATATTGCAAGAATACAAGATTTTTGCAAGAATCCAAAGCCCACACCTAGTTAAATCTAGAAAATAATGAGTCGTTGGAAATATCACATTCAATATAAAAATGTAAATTTCTTTCGTCGTCAACTACAATTTTAATTCAACTGTCGTGATTTGCGTTAATACAAGCTCGTAAAACAATCAACTAACTTATTGTTGTTTTAGTTTTGCGACGAGAGAAAGTCTTATACTTTAAGCGTATATTTAACAAGAACAACGTGTCTTTTGATGTGTAAATAATGTTTTGCAAGTCTATTTAAGTTGTGTAGCTTGACAGTTTAACAATCTCTTAAGCAGCAAAAATAGCCTGGAAAAAAATATATGTAATATTTTTTTCTTTTTTTTTTTTTTTTTTTTTACAAAAACGCATTTACTATAAAGATGTATTGCTGGCACCTTCACTGTAACGAATATATTTCTACTCTTTCATAGTGTTTTGACTCCAGTTTGGATATTCACAATTTGCCCGTACCTGGGGCCCTATATATACTACCACCACGGGTCACGGTAGACCTGGGAACAACCGCAATTAAGTGGTGGTTCCACGCTTCTAAAATACTCCAGATCAGAGGCTTTACTGCCAGATGAAATCCATGAAAGCAGTGATTGTTCTAGAACTACTGATTAAATATTTTGTCGATACAAGTTTAAAAAATATCCTAGTGTCAGATTTTAAGATAAGTATGAAGGTAAGTTAAGAGATGTCATAGGACATACTCCGATCGTTAGTGAACCATACAACACTTTTATAGGGGTCATACGACAGCAGTACAGATTATGCGGATCATACAACAGTTTATAGTTGTAATTTCCAAAATCTTTAAGACCAGAACCTGGTAGTTTATCTCTCCTCTGATCTATTCAAAGTGGCACAATGGGGCTTGAGAATTTCAATACGATCAAAACCAAACAATTAACGTTCCACAGATCGGACACCAAACTTTCACCCATCCTGATGGATGGGTCTTCTCTCAAAAAGACTTCCTGACTTGAACATGTATTGGGACTCAACTCCTCCCTGAGCTCAGTTGGAACTCCCCCAATCTATTGATAAAAATGCTGGTAAAACGGTAGGTTCCTTGTACTAACCTAGTAAGTATCTGATTTCCATTGCGATAATCTATCGTTACGGGTGCTAGATCAAATGAATAATACAGCATTTCTGTCATATCTGTGCTGGAGCTACAGAGTCTTCACTTGTACGTCTAGATAGGGTTCAAAAGCGTTACAAGGCGTTGTAGGAGATGAATTATTTTCACCTTACAATCGTTTTCCGCACAAACGAAACATAGCGTGCCTTTCTCTGTCTTAGCTATTTCCAGTGTATGTGTTCTGGCGAGCTACATTCCTTAGTCCGTCCCCGCAGCACTGGACGTTGTATGTGGGAACCTCCATGCCATATACCCAAGAGGGAATCTTCTTTATTCACTTCGTATTCCATTAGTAAGTATGAATTTCCATTCAGACAGTTTCTACCAAAGAAGTGATGCTTTGTGAGACAGACTCCCGGCAGGATGTTTTCGAAATCACTACAATCTTAGCCTCTTCAAGGGTTAATCGTTATCTTTCCCGTATAATGTCATGAATTTCAGTTCTAGCTTTTTCTTATGCTCATATAATAGCACACAGTAACCCTCTACCTTGAGTGACATTTTAGTGGTTGAACATTATTATAAAAAAGTTATTTCATTATGGGATAACTGCATGTGTCTGACAGAAGCCGTTTTGCCAGATATAAGTATTAAAATAACGCACGATGAGACAAACACTGAATTTTTATATTTCTCAATATATTTCAAATATCAACCGAGTGTTGAACAATAATTTCACCCCCTCAAAAAAAAATAAAAATGAATTAGCTCCTGCACATTCAGAAGAAGAGCCATTTAGACGCATGTGAAATTATACAAAGTACAATTTAAAAATATTAAATTACTTAAATTCGCTTCTGTATTTCAACTTGGCGGCATTTGGCTGGCAAGGACTGCAACTTTTCTAGATTTCCATGTCGAAAAGATATTTGTAAAACTCAGACATGGACAGAAAACAAAATCACTCTGAATTTACAATGAAGTGCTAAAAATGTACGACCCACTTCCCAAAATTTAAGTGTTTAAACATAACAAATTTTATGGAATGGCATCTTTTTCTGACCGAGAATATTTTAGCAATACAGCATATACGTGAGTGCATATGTACTGGATGTTAAAGTAAAATTGTCCAAATCGTGTAACAACATGTGATAACTGGTCATCCTGAAAAATGTTTAATATCTAAAAAAAAAAAAAGAAAAAAAAAACTAAAGTAATTGACTTTATCTTTTCCATGGTTTCAGATAGGACTTTTGGCCCTCTTGACACCATTTGTCGTAAGAATCACTGAAAACCCCTTTGAGTTATTCAGGCAGAAAGAGAACAGGTTAAAATTGTTTTGTGTTATCCCACTGTTTTCCCAAATGAGTGATGTGAGAGGAAAAAGATCATTCAGGCCTAGAAGTAATGGTACCCACATTCATGTTCTGGTTTCCATCTTGCGGCACCAGCTATGCCCAAACAGTCACCCATCCAGGTACTGATCAGGCTCGACGTTGCTTAACTTCAGAATGGGAGCGGCTGTTTAAATGTGATGTAGCCATAAGATTTTCTTTTTCCAATACTCATTTTACTGTGTTTCCCAACTACCTTGTGCGTATGTGTTTATATGGTCTTTGATGACAGATATGATTCCGTATTTCCATTAGAAATTGGAATTTGAACCCATATCAAAACCAGAGAATACGATGACACACCTTTGCCTTTTTGACTTGGTATAACACAGATGTGTCTTTATGCTCTCGAGTTTATTAAATATTTTGACGCATATGTGTGTGTCCTTTTCGACATATAAATATAACTTGACATTTTTAAACCGTAATAGATTCCTTTATACTTGAAAATCCGAACCTCAAGTATTATTTGGATGCCCAAGCTATTTTTTTGCTGCTAAATATATTGTTGAACTGTCAAGCTATACAACGTAAATAGAATTGTAAAACAATGTTTACACATCAAAAGACATGTTGTTCTTGTTAAATATTCACTTAAAGTATAAGACTTTCTTTCGTCGCAAAACAAAAACAACCATACATTAGTTGATCATTTTTTTTACCAGGTTGTATTAAAACAAATAACGACAGTTGAATTATCATTGTAGTTGACGACGAAAGAAACCAACATTTTATATTGGATGTGATATTTCCAATGACTCCTTGTTTTCTAGATTTAAGTCTGTGTGTCCTTTGGATTCTTGTAAAAATCTCGTATTCTTCCGATGAATTGGCTTGTACCTCATAAGATATCTTGTTCAGGATGGTTGACGGTTTTAGATTTGTCGGTTGTACGACGTGTCAGTCTTTGTCGAATATTGTAAAGGGTACCCAGTGAGGAACATACTCACTACATAATAATGATCAACCAGACTAGGCCCGCTAACGATTATTATACTCTTCTTGAAGATAGAAGTAGGTGTACACGGAAAGTTTGGTGTATCGTTTGGCATTGTAGCATTTAATAATCGCCTTCATCTTCAGATCATTCGTTTTTCATAAACATGTCCTTTCATTACTTAAAAATATGGCGTCTCTGAAGCAGACAATTAATTGTCGAAATTTTATCAGATAAAAAGAAGAGGTAACAGAAAGAAATATCATATCATTTTGAGAAGGAATTGATTACCGAATGAAAAATACAATAATAGTTCCTGAAATGTCACAAGTGACATAGGAAAATTAGAGTGAAAATCGAATTTGATTCACGGACGCCATCAACGAGACAAATCAGAATAAATCTACGGATTCTCTTATCAAGAATTGACATGTCTACTATAAAAAAAATCTCATATTAGGCCATACTTAGAATATTGCTGACACACATTTTTCGGTACTCCTGCTGTTTATCTAGAAATCCTTAATAAAACCAAAGAAAAATCAACAATATTATTGGTCCTAATCTGGCGTCTCGGCTTCATTCACTTTCCTTTCGCCCTAAGATTACATCTGTGACTTTTCTCTAAATGCTTTCAGGTTAGTTGTTTGGGTGATGTCATAGTTATGGTACTTCAGAGTTTTTCAATTTAAGCGCAGTACTAGATTGCCGTCAAAACCTCAACAATTTAAAGTTGAACAGGCTAGATATAGCCATAAGTTCGCTTTAATCTGCAACAATTTAAATGCAATGTCAGTCGCTATCTACTGTCCTACTGATTACTAATGAGCGAGTACAAAAAGAGTAATGTTTATGTTTCTAATTCTTCTACAGCCAGCAAACTCTTGAGTCTTAGTGGATTTACTCTCTTGCTTAGTGCGAACTCAATTAAAAAAATGTGAACGTGATTGTTTAGCACTGCTCCGAACCACACACCATGATGAGAAATCTACTTAAATGTTGAAGTGACAAATAAAGAAAGGCATATTTATCGCTTTAATTTTCTTCACATGTTGAGCCCATGATTCAAAAGACTGTTCAGTCAGCTATGTGCCCTGCCTGATATACGTTTAGGCGATCACGCATCTTTCGACAAATGACTGACGAGGCAGATCTTTTCCCGCAATAGGTTGCTATTTCATTCTACGATAGACCAGCTTCCATCCAAAGCTATAGAACCCGATCTTTCCTGCTATTTACCCATAGCTGTGGGAGAAGAGGATTCCTACCTTTCCCAAGGGTATTAGCCCGTAACTAAATGTAATAGATTCGAATGTTAGGGCACTGAAATTCCATCGTGGGGGTAGATAGGTTGCAAATTTACCGGGTGGAAGATACGTTTTTTTTTTAATCTCTGACTATGCAGCGCAGGCTGTTTCATATTGAATCCTTCCTAGCAGATCCGTTCTGCCTAAAACGGAAGCGTGACCGCTTATCGGTAAACGCGCATACGTATGATAACGGCTTGAAGAAAGCGTCTTTTCTCAAAGATTGAGAATAGAATATATAGATAGATTATCGAACAGTGTTTATATCCAGACTGATCTTTGAATCTTTATTGCTGTTATCAAAATATTTCGCGAGTTGAACTACGTTGCCTTCAGGAAATTGCAAATCTGTAACTTTTATTTAATCTACGGACTTAGATTGTTTTTGTTTTGCTGATCATGCCTCGGGATAGCTATGAATAAAAGTAGATATCTTGAAGCATACACAACAAAACGTGAACAATTTAATCCCGGAGATTAAATAGAATTGTTTGCATTAAATTTATTGAAGCTTACACAGATCGACAAACTCCTGAAGAATGCCATAGAGCGCAACGGCTGAAACATTAATACTTTGTGTGTGTGTATGGGGGGGGTGACCAAATGAACGACACGACTACAGACTTATTTGTGGCGCGTTTCCTTCAGATAATATGCTTATGCAGGCAAATAATACTATTATTGAAAGAATTAATCTTATTCACAAAAGGTGCAAATGAAAGATGCAAATGAAATCCAATAAATTCTGGCTACAGTTTACATAGAAACGTTAAAGATACAGAATTGCACGGCTTTTGAATTACAGTTTTGATGTACGATGTACCTCTGAGTTAAAGTTTAATTTTTTTATTATTTTTCTAATGTCATTATTTTTAATTCGTGATTCTGTAATAAAAAGTATTTCGAAAGGAGCACAGTCATTAAATTCTAAGAAAAAGCATGCGAAGACACCTGTAAGATTTGATCCCATGGACAGTCCATATTGCTGTCAATAAGATTGTTAGGGAAAGTGAAACAACATTTGTTTTTCATAAATCGGAAAATATAAGTGTGATCATTGGCCGGGAGAGATTGTCTTTTTGAATTACTTAAACGTTTCTTTAAAAGATATGATAAATTGTTAACTAGCACGATAGTGATAAAGAAGTTCATATTTAAACGAGTTATTGGTCTAACCTAGCCTGAAACCGGGAAATCCTGCGACTCACTATCCGTCAAAGCATTTACTTTTGACCTAATATACCAGGAAAAACCATGCTGTCACAGAACCAACTTCAACCAGTCACTGCAGAGAATTATGTCTCCTGTATTCCATTCGAATATTCAGCTAAGATGGAACCTGCAACAAATGAGAATAGTTGAACAAGAATAATCTTACTTATTATAAAACGCAGATTGTGTGTGTGTGTGTGTGTGTGTGTGTGTGTGTGTGTGTGTGTACGTTTATATATTGGATCGGATTTCCTACATTTTTCAACCGATTTCAACAAAACTTCACAGGACTACATAATTTTACCATGTGGTGGTTCTGACAGTGCCAAAAATTGGAAAAGCAATTGTTTTTGCATGAAATCAATTTGAAAACACGATTAAAAGGCATTAATGAAAGGGGGACAACTCATATCGAGTTATACGTATTAATATCGAGTTATACTTATTATAAAACCCAGGTTGTTTGTTTGTGTGTGTGTGTTCGTTTATATATGGGATCGGATTTCCTACATTTTTCAACTGATTTCAACAAAACTTCACTTTTTTTGACAGGTAGTGTTTCTTATTGTCTTGCACACTTTTTTTCTTTTATTTTCACGTTCAGAATGCTTTAAAAATTCCATTCACAAGACAATTGTTTATAATAAAATTCTATTCAATTGATAGACTCATAACGATTGAAAACAATGTTTTTGTTTGAGTTTGGGTTTGACCAATTCGTTTGAAAAAAAAAAAAAAAAACTAATTAAGACATGCGTGTCTGTCAACCTTAAACAATAATCTTTATCAATTTTTATTTTGCACTCTTTATGGTGGTCGATACTCGATCTATCTCTTACTGTTACATCCCCGGGCAATGCCGGGCTCTACTATATATATATATATATATATATATATATATATATATATATATATATATATATATATATATATATATATAGTACGATTTAGTTCCATGGTCTTAGTCAAAATTTAAACGTGGGGTCAGTCAGTTATGTGCCATGCGAGATACACACTTAGGCGACCATTTATCATTCGATACACGACTGACGAGGCAGCTTTTCCCGCAGTATTTTGCCATTCCTTTCTGCAGTAGACCAGTTACCATCCAAGGCTATAGAAGCCCATCTATTTTGCTATTTACCCATAGTTGTGAGAAGTAGAAGAGGATGCATACCTTTTCCTAGGGTATTAGCACGTAAGTGAATGTAATAAATTCGACTGGAATTCGAACTCGGCTCTCCGATTCCTCACAATATGTGCGGCTATCCATTACTCTACCGTAGAGTTTATAACTCTGTTTAACTACATTGGACACTGTTTTGTCTACAACACTGATTAAATAAATAGTTATTTGCTCACCTGTATGTGTACGTAATCGCTCACATATATGGTTGATCATATCTTTTTATTTAGGTCATATATATATATATATATATATATATATATATATAAATTGTTCACGTTTTGTCGTGTATGCTTCGAGATATCTACTTTTATTCATAGATATCCCGAGGCATTATCAGTAAAACAAAAACAATCTAAGTCTATATATATATATATATATATATATATATATATATATATATATATATATATATATATATATATATATATATATATATATATATATATATATAGGTGTATTAAATAACCATTCTGTAATATGTATAAAAGTAAATACGCGGTTCG